TTCAGCCCATTCAATATAAATATAAAAGAAAACTTGTATTTCCACTGTTTTAGGAAATGCATTCATTTTATTTAATATTTATTGGATTAGCTTATATCAAATTTGAATACAATTATACCTGTTCTTTAAATTTTTTAGATTATTGCTTTCAAATAAATTTTAATTATTATCTCTGGGACTATTTTTTTTATATTTGAAAATATTAATGCTCAATAATAAATATTAAAATGCAACACATATTAAAGAATATTTTTTAATTTCTTATTTGAATAATTAATTTTTTTAAATATTTTTATAAAAATCACAGATTGCAGTAATATTTATAATAATATGTATCTTCGATATATTCCAATAAATTTCGGAACGAATTACTGCCATCAAGTTTAAGATAAGCAACTAATATTTTTTTTTTCGTAAAAGTGTTAAAGCATGTTTCATTCAGGTTTTTAATAAATTATTTACTTAGTCTTTTTAATTCAGATTCACTTTAAACTCTGCCGTTTAAATATTTCATTTTATACGATTTTTTAATTATTTAAACGTGATATTTTACTCATTTAGAATTAAAACAAAAAATCAGTGATTTTTATAAATAATTGTTTAAAATCTTGTACTGGTTAATATTTAATGCTTCTTCTTCGAGTTTAAATTAAATTATTTATAATCTATACTCTTGCGTTCTATGCAATTATGTGGTTTATGGACTACTATAAGGGAATGAGCTGGAAATTAATTTGCTTCTTTCCGTACTAAAAAATTCGCAACAAATTCTTCTAACGAATCTGGAGGAAAAATCTTTTCCAAAGGTCGAGCCTTTGGTTTTGGCTCAACTCTTATCATTTTTGCTTCCCAAAATTTCCTCACCATAAACTCCTATATTAAAGTAGATACCTTTCCATTGGACAAAAATAATTTTTTGATTAAAATAGAGATAGAGTAATGTGATTTCCTTCCTAAGCTTTATTTTTTTAGCTATATTGTTATTGTTATCAGGATTTTCACGATCTCAAGTAACAGGCTCGGTGAACGGGTAATATGGCAACACTGCAAAATGTCATGAATAAGACACATGTTCTTGAAATATATGTATGTTTAAAGTTGGTCTGAGAATGCTTTCAACTTCTCAATACCCTAGCAACAAGGAACTATGTCACTCTTATGTGAATACCGGAACATAAAAGGCATGAGGGCACTGAAATAGCAGACTCCACAGCAAATAATGGTACATGTATATCTTTCATTGGACCAAACCCTTTTTGCGGCGTAACAAATAGCTTCATAAATAACTTATTATGTGAAAAGGAGGAACAAAATCTTCTTGAAGACTGGGGAACCCAAACAGACATGCGGCAGTGAAGAAGATTCATTGTGCTTGAACACATTAAAGTTGACGCTATCCTTAACCTTAGCAGAAATGTATTAAAATCTACACTGAACTTCTTATAGGATACTGTAGATTTAATTACCATTAAAAATTATAGGTGCGGTAGAAAGTAATTCCTATCGACTCTGTCATGAGGAGAAGGAAGCATCAAAACATATCCAATGCAACTGCGCAGAGGTGGCAGGACGTGATCTCAACTATCTCTGAAGCGGGATCTTAAGCCCAAGCAGATAAAATTAAGCCTACAGGAATTACGATATTTATAAATAGTCTTGAATTGTTTTAGTTGGGCCTTGATAGTCTATTAATTAATAATAATAATAAAAATATATATGTTTGCCAGCTTGCACTGTTATTATGTCAGATGGTTATTAAAATTATAAAATTAAATTTTTTCTAACGACATTAAGCGAACTATAAATTAGCCTTAGGCTGAAAATATTGTGTCTTTAATAACCTCGCTTTCTTCGTCAAGTTCCAAGAAATGTTAAAATGAATTTTAGATATAAGTTCATAAATCATAGAGTGAATTTATATTCGTTATACTGTGTGTATGTGTTTATTTGACTGTCTACAGTCGTCGATCTACTGTTCTCTTGTTTATAAGCATAATTTACTTTATTAAGATTTAATATCTTTTAATGCATCTTCTTTGTCTATTTAAACAATAACTTTATTAATAACTTCAGAGTGCATAAAATTAAATCAAAAACTAAATATGTAAACAAATTTATATGGTGCAATGTCAACTCTAAAATAATATCAGTCTGAGATATGAAATCATTCAATTCGCACTTCTCAATTGAGATTTTAATTTATTTCATTAAGAAATACCACAAACCGACTAAGTAATTAAGTAATAAAAATATTTTCATTGCATTTTATTAAACTGACAATGCGATAAGCATTCAGACAATTAATTAATTAAAACATCACTTGGTGGGGAAAGATACTTCACAAATCTTGTTAGATTTGATTTGCGCCGTTCAACTGGATTTGTGTATCTCAATATTTCGCGTTTTGAGTCGCAGCGTCTGTCAATTGCCCACACACGAGCTCAATTACAAATTCTTTCAGTTGTCAAATCTGCTTTAATTTTCACGATTAGTTAAACTGCACCCTACAGTATGTCATTGTTGACTTATTTCTTTTAGATTTTGATATATAAGGTGTACATATCAGCCACGGAAAAACCTCAACGAATGTATGTAGTAGTATGTAGTATATTAGTAAGCAAAATTATAAGGTTGACATTGGCTTACTTCCAAAAAAATAATCTCTTTTCGACTACCTAACCATTGTAGCATCTTGCATCAGGCTTCTCTCAACTAATAAGTTCGGCTTATCTGACTAATCCATATGTATACTTGGACGCTGAACCATATCGGATAATTGTAGGGTGAAGCAGGCTTTAACCCGGGTTGATAAAGATTCTGGTCAAAGTACAAGACTTATTTAGTCTAAATAAAATAAATTACTTAATGCCTTAATACCTAAGGCGAAGCATAGTTAATATCACGCCATTGGTGCTGATAGATCCTTGCATATTGGGAAGATCTGGAATGAGCCCTGGTCTATGTAATAATAGATTTTGTCGATCTGCGGCTCTGTAGAAAAGGAACAACCTCCTCCTCTCCTGCTTCGCTACTTCGTCTTCTGAGGAGAGGAAGGAAACTCTCCTTACCGATCTGACAGAGCTGTCAGTTTTCATAGTTAGGGACATAGCCAATTTGCTACATTTTTCAGAGTTCATCATTTTTATTTAAATAGGAGATTCATACCTATATTTTTTTCACAAGTCAACCACTTTGGTCTTTATAATTTTTCAAATCAAAAGCTCACATATCACTTTTTCTAGTTTTATAACATAATAAGAAAAAAAAAACAAACCCTCAACTAAGCATGTACATTGTGACAGCACTTTATATGATTAAGGTCCAGTCGCTTGCTTTTGTATTCCATTTCATTGAACCCGAATGAGAGTATGGGCTATTGTAGCCTGCGGCAATTTCTCTCGCTTTGGTTATAAAACTGTCTCGCCAGTTTCGTTATTTGACCTTATCCGTAATATGGTCATGAGTCAACCATAACAAATTTATTGTATAATGGTTAGGTTAGGTTAGGTTAGAATATCACTTAATTACAAAAAAATGGCCGTTGCGATACTACGGACTATTGAATGTTACTTGCATTGATATATCACACAATATCCTTGATACCAGAGACTATTAAATGAGCCAATTCATCTTAGAATAACAAAATTGAATTGGTTTAGTTAGTAATTTTTTAGTTTAGTAAAAACTTTTTTTTAAAGTATTACATATTAGTTATTTGCTAATTTCTTAATTGTTCACTATTAAACTACTGGTTGTAGAGTGTCAGATTTTCGCTACAATTGTGTAATTGATTTCAAAATTTTTTGTCATTTATTTAAGCGCTTAATCATTTTTAAGATTAAATATCTAATAATAAATTCATTATAGTTTTTAACGCATTTTTGATAGAGATTCAAAAGTTTATCACTCTCTCAAATGCATCTTGTTTATGGTCTTCAATGGAGAACAGCTTATCGTGCGGCCTCAATCGAAGACAAGTTTCCTAAATCGCTGTATCTGTGCTTAAATGCCAGTTGATTTTTATTTATGGCTCTACTGGTGCAGTTTCATAATGAGCCACATTAATGAACTCAAATATTTCTATACCTTTTTGGTCAAGTTTTGCTGTTGACAGCTTTGAATTACATGAAATATTCGATATCTCATGGATTGCATTACAGGTTTCTAGTATTGATTTCTTTTTTTAACTTTTAGTTTTTGTTATAATTTATTTTAAGTGATCATATGAAACTTTATAATATTGGAAGTAATTCTTTAGACTTGTTATTCATCCTTGAATTAAAGAATAGGATCACTATTATAACATCAGTTTGCTTAATGCTTTCTCATCTTACAATATGGAGCAGTTAACAACCCGATCAATAATAGTAATAATAATAGATATAGTGCAGTTACAAAATTTGTTGTATAGCTATAAATTATGGCTACTAAATTATACCTAATTCTAAACATTTACCCAAATAATCCATACAAGCCAATATGAGTCTATTGATATCTTTATAATGACTTTTAACAAGGACTGTCTGTCAGATATCTGAAAGGATGTTTCCAGCAGGACACTTTCAGTTAAACATAGCTTCATAGTTCCTAATAATACTTTTAAACTAATTGCATACTAATGTATTTAAATCGAATAGTTCTTTACTGGAGTAAATGTCTAAGAAACTTTGTGAGTTCCGGTTCTGGGACATACTTTCATAAGTAAGTATAAATTGAAGACTGCTGTCTTTTGCGAAATGTTGCGCTAAGTATTTATTTTTTTCTGAGTATTTATTTATGTAACAATAAAAGATAAATAAAATCATATTATTATAAATGTTAAGTATATATAATAAATGCAATAAAAAAATAACAAATAAAAATTAATAATAAAACATGTAATAAATAATAATTACAAGTGATTTTGCATATATATATATGTATGTATGTATTATAACGCACTACATTATATATCAAATTATTTTTATATATAAACTAATTTAAATATATGATATATAAAATTAATTTTTATACAAAGCATAATTATTGACTGGTGACATATAAACGACACGATCCTTTCCATGTTGGCGCTTAGCCTGATCATTCTGTTGAGACGCGTGCTCCCTACGTACTTCATGAACGGGTTTAAGATATCCTTGATAGTTTTTAGAAATATTGGGCTCTTGCTTATGCTTGAAATTCTTTGGAGATGCAGCACGTTTCGATGTTTGGCTATAATTCTCATCATCGGTATATCCCACAAATAGTGAAGGTTTGAATGGTGCCTGAAAATGTTGAGCATATCGACCTTGTGGTATAACTGGTTGAAAGTGACTATTCTGTGGTAAGTAAGATTGTGGATAGTGTGAGTATTGGTGACCTATATCAAATTGTGGTGAATTATAGATTGGAGCATAATGTTGTGTAGAAGTGTGTTGTTGGGCATAATGATTTGGATTAACATCTTCCGTGTTCAACTGTTCAGTTTCTGGAAAACGATGTGGAGCAGTATTAGCTAGATTTTGCTGTTGATGGGCTATATACTGATGATGTTGTGGGTGTGGTTGCGGATGCTGATGTTGTGCGTGATGATAAGGTGGATAATGTTGTGGTTCTTCATGGGATTGTTGGTAATATTGTAAACCATGTTGGCTGTGTGTCAATGGCTGTGGCTGTGGGTGCTCTTGATGGTGATGGTGATTTTGTTGATGATTTGGTTGTATAAATTGAACTGGTTGAAGTTGTAATGCATGTCCGTAATTTTGTTGAGCATGTGTGGATTCAATAGCTGTTGGATGATTATAATACACTAATTGTACTCTTGGCTGATGTGCACTGTCGCTGTTAGGATAAAACAACTGGAGGTGTTGTCCATAAACGCCAGCTGTTGGAGTATGCGTGTTTATATCTTGTAATTGTGCCACTTGACCACCGTTGATATTATAATCGGGCTCATTATCATTATTTTGGTTATTGTGCCCAGGATCGTATAGACAACCATTCGGTTGCTGGCATTCCAGTTCATGATGTCCAAAAACTCCAAGCTCTAATTGTCTTTTGCCTTTGGCTTGTGATTGCATTCGTTCGTTGCTCCTAATTTTCGCCGGCAAGGTGAATGCATATATGAAATAAATTAAATATTTAAAATGCATATTGTGAAGAACTGCTTTTTTTAGTTATTTGTTAATCCGAACTCAATTTGTGACTAAGACAATTTTCAAGTATTTTCGCTTTTTATACAAAAACTGATAAGTAGCATCAGTTGGTCTGCATTTTCTATTATACATTTTGCATAAAATTATTTGAAGCTTAAAATATGTGTTAAGTTATGTCTTCACTTTATAATGTAATTCGATATGTCCTTTTGTTATATCGTATGTACTTCCAATGCATTCATTGACTTCCGCAGGAACTAAAACTGGCATGGGACGCGTCTACTTGGCGTAACATAATATCGCAGATTGATTGGAGTGCGTATTAAAACCATGACCATGAAATGTACTTCAAACCTAAGAAATAGTTTACGGCTGCTGAAAAGCGAAAGGTACCTTTATGTAACTATTTCCACAATATAATATTTTTCTTTGAAAATGCGGTAATATCATTTAATGAAACTAAGAAATTACGAATTTATCTTTCACTTTAAAGTGGTGGACGCTTATTCCACCGTTTTAATTTTTGATCTATATTTTTATTATTATTTATGAAATTAAAATGTATACATATATAACATATATAGTGGTTATATGATACGACTAGTTTTGTGTGTTGTATATTTAATTACACAATATATAATATACCATTGATATAAGATTAGATTAAGACCAAAAAGGTCACGCGTAGACCATTAAGATTCATACCAGATCAGAGTCTTATTTTAGCGATTATGTACATCACTTAAGATGCACGTTTTGTTAACGAATTTTATAAGGATTTCAACAGAAACCACAGGTATGTGCTCCAGTACGGTAAAACTGACAACCCCCAAGTATTTTTGTCGAGTTCTTGAGAGAGCCGGGAAGTTACACAGCAGATGCTCTAGAGTTTCCTTTGCATCCGTCTCGTTGCATTTATTACAAGCATCGCTGTGAGTTAGGTTTAGTTTTTGGGCATGTGATGCGACCAGATAGTGACCTGTCAACACACCAATTAATGTTCTGCAGTTCCTTCGGTTAGACCATATAACATTCTTGGTGTATTTTTCCTCATATATGTGTCTACACATAATCCTCGCTATTCTACAGGTGGTGAAGTTTCAGCACCTTTCCTGTGCTCTCCTTTTTATGTACTCGTCCAGAAGTTTATGTATTTGTTTCACAGGTCTGAGTACTCCACTCGTTTGTTACTCTAAAAGTTTTGCACCATTTTTAGAAATAGCATCAACTGCCTCATTTCACTCTATGCCTTTATGGCCAGGAATCCAGTACAAACAAAGTCTGCGGTTGCAGGCTATTCTGGCAATAGCTTCCTTGGATTCTAGAACATTTTGGATGATGACCAATATGGTTTGATTGTCTTAATGGCTGCTGTCATTGATATAAAGCTGAAGAAGATAGAAGATAGTCAATAATGAATTAAGTTTTGGAATATTGGTACTTTAAATTGGCGCAGATTTGAGGTGTTTTCATTTAGACCAGGAGAATTAAATCATTATTCGTCATTAATATAGTAGAGTTATTTTTCGATTAAACAAATATATGAATATTTTATGAAAATCATATTTATGTAGCACGAATATGAAGCAATGGAATCAAGAATTTTAATATTGCACTGGTTAGATTGTGAAAAGATGATAAAATGCAGTCATTATAATATCAGATCAAGAAAGTGATATAAAAAAATTTAGATAAGAAATTACAATTCATGACAAACTATTTTATAATTGACAATAATATAGTTCAATGGCGGAAAAATATAAAATTGAACTAATTTTCAGACACAAATACCATGGACATAGAATTACAATAACCAAAGAAAACTATATAAACGAAACCGATCGAAATATTGGTTTAGGGTTGGTGACTTTCAAGAAATGAATTATATCTTTAAACCCGTTTCGCTTATTTAAATTTTTACATGTCTTTAAAAGGAATTATCTATTTTTATTTATGAGTGTAACTGTTACTAAATATTCAATTCGCAACCTGCTAGTGGTTTATATACCAAGAGAAGGATTACTGAATCTTACAGAACCCAACGCAGGGGTGACCGCGCGAGGGTGACTTACAAATACAGTCCTGAAAGAGAAAATAAAGGCGTCATATAATCCAAGGAGTGTTATTACATATTGTTTTTAAAAATTATTGAATATATTTATATATTTTAGAAAAGAGCAATATAGAAAGGCTAAAAATAAGTCAACAGCAGTTATCGATTTCCGAGAGAAGTGATATAGTATTAAGCCAAAGAATGAAAGCTTCTGTGTTGATATATTGAAAAACTATCTTTAATATCAATCTCATTTCGCAATAATAGCGAATTCATCACCTTTTATAAAAAAGTTTAAAAATATTGTAAATTGTGCCACAAAAAAACAATATAATGTCGTGATGGAAACGATATGTACATAAACTTATATGCCCGTTAGAACTGAATTGTGTTTTTTTTTCTGTGAATTTATATACTTTTTCTATTTTTTTTTATTTAATAAATAGATAAGGTAAATATCACTTCTTTAATATGTGTATAGTCTTCTTTCTACAATAGCTTGTGTGAAAAATATGTCATCCTATGAATTACTAATAAATAATAACATGGCTCTTCAATTGAGAGCCATGTTTTATAACTTAACTTCATGTTGCGCCTTAAATCTTTCTAGCCCTTCTATAGTCTATACCCGACTTCATGATCTATCTTTATTTTATTTAAGGGTACTTGCTTTTCCTTTTTTGTCATTTTTTATTTTTTACTTTTAAGTTCAATTTAGGAACTAACTCTATATATACCGCAGTTAGATAAGATGCTTTAACTACTAGTTATTGGGTTTGAATCGTAGCTAACCTTAAATTTATAAAACTATTTCGTACAGGTTAACTCAATCCCTCTACAGTGATATAAGTGTAACACCAAATATGATTTTATATATTTGCTTAAAGAATTGCCAAATACTTAAGAAAACTGGTTAACGCCCAATGGTACGTAAGAGGAACGGATATCCACAAAGATCTGAGAGTCGATTCAGTCGAAAAATACATTAAAGATCGTGCTCTAAAACTGTTCAATATAATTGACAGTCACAATAATCCAACTCTCAGCATCCTAAAAATACAGCGAAATTTGATAAACACAGGCAGACACAAAGACATCAAATCCATCATATTATAAAGCCCCGTATTCAGTTATTCTTAGTGTGACTTAAAACTGTCCACAGATAAAATAGAGTAAAGGTACTGATTCACCAACTCAGACATCTGAATATCAATATCAAATACGAGTGCAAAAATATCAAATATATGTACGAGTGCAAAAATATTTATTCTTATATTTAATTATTCGTAAATAATTTTTTGAGACTAGAAGTACCAAGGGTTAAGATTGTACCCTGTCCAATATGAGCCGATTCAATCCATTAAGATTGATTCTATTCTTAGTGGTACAAAATCTATGAGGGAATTTTGCTAGATGAATGGTCCTATGTTAAGATTTTTCCGTATTAGTATAACTGGGCTCTTTTACTCTTTCTAAGCTAGGGCTTTTATCCCTCCTTCCTCTTTGACTAAGTTATATATTCCTTCACAAGCTTGTCCAAAAAAGACAAACATATTATTAATAATCCATTATATTTACCTGATTTGCTTCTGTGAAATTTTTCTTTATTGCCCAAACTGAATTTGATGATCTAAGAAAAAAGTTTCCATACCATTGTGATCATCCAAGAACCTGAGATCAAGAAATCAAAGGCAGTTCCGACCATTGGATATGAAACATTTTTTGAAAAATTAGTTGATGTGTCCACTATCGAGATCATATTGATTTAACAAAAATAAATAACCAAATATACTATATAGAACGATAAAATATCTTTTGGTACCAGTCTTATCGACTTAGGGACAGGGTGAATATATCAAATAGATTTAAATGAAGCTAAAATGGATAAAGATCTTACAAAAATGCTTTCGATTTCACTTATAAGTAAACAATTTTATTTAATTTATTGTGTGGGCTTCACGTTGTGAAACATTATTTCAAAGTAATAAATTTAAATTGCAGTGATAAAATAATTTATCATTAATGTATGTAAGTAATGTACAAACCTACTCAAACATTTAGTGGACCACGTCTTACTAGTCGTAGCGGTTTAAGTTTCGTTATCGCACAAAATGTACTTGTCAAGCGTGAAAACTGCTACTTGCGTGTAAGTTTTGCCATTTTCATTCAACATTTTGCAGATACAAAAAAGGTTAATAATTATTGTATTTACAGTTTCAGTTACAACAGATCAGATTGCAAAAGTCGTTTTTGTTTGTTCGCTGCAAATAATTTTATTTGAACTTTTTATGAGCTCATTTGCAGCTTAACGTGCGAATCGGATTAGCGTTTGCTTAATTAAAACTGCATTGCGAAAGCGCAGACCTCTGCGTATGAGCAACAAATTAATTATTAATGAGTATTTGTGCAGTACTTCTAAGTCAATACAATCCAACACAATTGTGTTAATATTTATTAACAAATGCTTTATGCAATTTGTGCAATTATATGCACTTCAGAGCTACTAAACCGTGTAGGGTTCACTGCGTTCGTTTCAAAACAATAACTTTTAATTAAGCGAATATTATTGAGCTATTCTCATTTTAAATAATTATTTTAAACAACTTGTAATTAATACATAAATAATAATTATATTTTGATTTACTAATTAATTTATTTCTAAAATAAAGTTTCTAATTTCTAAAATACCTAATTATATTTTTAGAATTCGTTTATTTATTAAATTTTTTTTATAAAATTTTTTAAATATGTTTTTCGAACTGTTCCTTCTTGTTAAATAATAAAACTTTAATATTTTTTAATAAACTCTATATTTCGACTCCCCTTGAGACTCAGCATCAGGATTTCAATTGTAAGTTATTATTAAAAATGC